AAAAGTTTCCCTGGATATGAATTAAATTCTGTATTATTTATTATAGAACACGAAGAATGTATAATAAAAAAATTAATGCTAGTATGCTTATGGTTTAGTCATAGTGTACTTAGATTCTGTATATTTTTATAAATGTTAGAGAATTCTTTAAAAATATTATATCTACTTCTATATCTAACTGTCTGAATTACTCCTATATCTTTTATTCAAACTGTATGTCAATTCTTAGTGACCAAATAAAGGGACACTTCCATAGAACAATTTCAGTTAGTCTCTTCTTCAGCATGTGTTTTTCTGAGCTCTAAGTTGAACGTAATCAAGTGTATTTTATTCAACTGACAGAAGAGCTATGATGTTATCATAGCCCATCATCAAATTTTTATAGACTTCTTACTTTATACGATTAACTTCTATTAAAGTCAATGGGAATCTTAACAATGATGCCTTGGAAAAATCTGTAAACATTAATACAAAGTGCCTGTTAGTCAGACTGCCCCAGTATTTGTTTATTTTTATTTTGTTGCATCTTCAAATTTAAATCATCCAAATTACTTGCCTTGAATTATGATTTCTTGCCCAGTTCAAAAATTGTTGTTAGTCACAAATTGCTTTTTATTTATCTTCTTTCAAACATCTAACTGACAGGAATGTGACAGTCTAGCAGCACTGAAATCTCTGAGAAAGGTGGCTCTCACATGATTGCAGTCCTGTTTTGTAGATCTATACATTTGACTTTGTCCTAAGTATGCAAACCCCTAACCTCTTAGAACCTATAGTTTTTAAAAAGGAGAATCAAGCTTACATAGGAATTGTTTTGGAATGATGCTAGAGTATATACTGAAGGTTTAGGTACATTTCAGGAAACGTATAAATCCCGTGCTTTAAACTATCCTTAGTCATCATCAGTCTCAGAAGGAATTTTAGCTGTCTCTTTCATAAAGACTTTAACTGTCATTAGATGAGTAAAAAAGTATATTTACTACTACAGAGAATAAACAATATAAGAATTTATAAGGAGACTTTCTCTCAAAGCCAGAAAATTTTTCTTTTATTTCTTTTTAAATTTCTTATTAGCAGAGTGACCATAAGAAGGGGACTTTATATCTCTGAGTCTCAGGTACTTAATATGTAAAATGGGTGTAATTTCATCTGCCCTGCCTAGGCTATGTCAATATAATGAAGATCAAATGAACCAACATGAATGGAAGCATAATAAAAATGGAAAGAGTTACACAAATTTAAGAAATTGTCATTGTTATATTCTATGAAGGCAATAAAAATGTGTGGAGTTTTATTGGATTTTTTTTCAATACATTTTCACAGAAGATTTGATAGTGGAGACTTTCTGTAAGAGATTCTAAAATAAATTAAGACTGGGAATGAAAGTGTTTCCATTAAACACGTGTAGTTCATTAAGTTATTCCACATGGCACCCAAATCATTAGTTTCTTAAATGTAGCAAGAAAGATTGTGAACCACTGATGACAGACGTTAAATATACTACAGAGACAGGGTTACTTTCGATGGAGTAAGTGTTCAGCTAACTCTTACTATGACTGCAGAACAGTTCTACTTGTTTGTTTTTTTACCAAGATTCCTCATTCAGTTCTGAAATCTTGAAGAGTTTCCTTACAACCAAAGGTTGATTTTTTTTTTTAATAGAAACACATGGTGCAAATTGACTGTTAAACATTCACATCTAGTTCATTTAGCACGGAGTACTGAATCACTGTTTTGGCAATAATGAATTTGCTTTCCAGATTAAATCAAACTAATTATATTTGGTTACTTGACTGTGAAGTCATGTGATACCACTTTTAATTTGTTTATGCCATATTACTCATTGGTTAAGATCTACACATACGTCGTTCAGTGGAGAAGGTCGCTCCATTATACACACATTAACATACTGATGATTCAAAAATGTTGCTACTGATGGTCTTATTCCCTCCTGTGAGCAAGGTTTGAAATGCTTATACCAGTGATGCCTCTTAACTGCATAATTCAAATATTACCATGTGCAAAATTGCAGCAATTTGTATGCTATAAACTTCAGTTAAACTTTGTCAATGCTGTTTTCAATTCATCTAGAAAAAAAGAGAAAGAGGAGAAAAGTGAATTTATCATAGCTAATATATACACCATGAACATCTGCTCATAATAAGCTAGTCAAAATTAGTTTAAGTCTATCAGGCACAAGGAGAATATAAATGGCCCAAGACAAGGTATCCAGGCTGATGAAGAGACTGTTATAAGAATATCACTGAGGTTCTTTTTTTTTTTTAATTATCTGCCAGCCATAGTCCATCCTCTCCTCTCTTAAATCTTGGTTTAGACTGTCATAGTGACCTCTCAAATGCCTCTCCACTTCTTAGGCTGGCTCCTGGACCCAGGCAAGAACTGTTGCATGGATTTTTTTTTTCAGTACTCTTCTCTCATTTACTTTCTTTCTCAATTTGACTTTTTCTCCTTTCTAACCTAATCCTATAATTTTCCTGAACTTTATCACAGGATGTTTCCCACCAGTCCATCAATTTTAACAAAGAGGTACGGCTGCCCTGTTAGAAAGTGACAGGTTCTCATAATCTGAGTGGATGGCTTTAGCAAAGCAAATCGACTTGTGAACTTCTTCTTTTTATAGCTCTTCTACCACTCTCCCATGACTTCTAAAGTCTACTTGAAAGTAAAATAGAGGACTTTCAGATTAGCCCCATGAGATTTCACCCTGGCAATGCCACTTATTAAATATTGTGAACTTGGATAAGTTACTTTCCTTTTCCTAATCTTGTTTTAGTCATCCATAGAATAGGGATAAGTAATATCCACTTCGTGAGATAGTGGTGTGGGCTTAAAGTAATCATGTATGTAAAAACTTAGCATAGTACATGACACATAATATGTACTCTTTAGGTTGTTGTTTTTTTAATTTGAAGTTAACATTCCTCTTTCACGTAATCAGATTGTTCCAGTTCTTTCCAATTAAGAATTTTGAAATATTCCTTATAATTTATCTCACATTTTTTATTTCAAAAATTACTTCAGAAATATGAGTCAGCCTCTGCTGCATAACAAATCACCCTAAAATTTAGTTGCTTAAAACATTGATGAATAATTATTTCTCTGTATTTCCCATAACTCTGTGGACTGGCCAGGCTCATCTTCTGATCTAGCCTCAATAGCATAGGATGATCTCACCAACATGTTTGGGACCTGAGCTGGGATGGCTGGACAGCTTCCCTAGGACAGCTGGGGGCCTTTCACTCCTCATGGCCTCATCTTCCAGCAGGCCAGCTCAAGTGTCTTCACATGGTAGTAGAAAGATTCCTAAAGGCAAAGGGAGAAAAGCCCCAAAGCTTAAGTCATCTTAGGGTCACATCTTAAAGCACAAGGAAAACACTAAAAAAAAAAAATCCTTGAAGGAATGCTTGAATCCTTAAAATTCAGTTTCTGCTACGTGTTGGCTGAATGATCTGGAGTAAACTATACATCCTCTATACATCAGTTTTCCTTTTCTACAATGTGTGTCAATAGTATTGGCATAGTAACAGAGTTAAATAAGATAACATGTATAATGTGATCAATTCAGCATGTGGCCATTGGTAGAATAAATGTTAGTTTCCTTATACTATCACCTGCACTTTAAGTTTTTTTTGCTGTTACACTGACACAGTCACTACCCCTCCATTATCCCACGTAAAAGCCTAAGATATCACGAAGTTCCTTACTTGAGAATTAAATATTGCTATCATTATGATAGTAGTAGATTAAAATGTGTATCTAGAACCACGAAATCCACATTTCCATACCAAGAACAAGAAATAATATCTATCAGAACTACCTCTAGTTATCAGCCGCCATAAAGCCAGGATCCACAAGTAAAAATTAGATTCAGGGCACAATGAAATAAGTCTAGTTTCTCCAGTACCTTTCAAATACAAACAAATAAAACAAAAAGACTATGACCGAAAAATTGAGAAATGTTTTCTCTATTA